AGATAGAAATGCCTCGAGGAACAGAAAAGGACATGAAACAAACATAAGTGGGAGTGGTGTCTCAATGCAAAAACCCACCAGTAAATACTTCCAGCATGTGTAGCGTCGACCTTACAATAGGCAAATCACCACTTCTTTCCGCATCCGCAAGTTGTTGCATACATCTTGGGAGAACTTCTGGCATGTACGGCTCGAAAAGTGATGGGGTATTCACAGCAAGATACAACTTCTTCAACAATGTCTGGACCTGTGGGAATAGCACAGAGAAACAGAGAGGTGAATCCAGTACATGACCAACTGATTATCACCTGCCAAATCTTTCATCTTTCTTGCATGCCAAAAGGCGACACAGCCACATACAACTTCAACGGCAACGGCTCGACTTGTGAAAATAAGGAAGGGAACCAAGCGGCAGGATCCATCCCATGACTAACTGATTGGCCACTTTCATAACTCTCATCTTTGTTCACTGTTACCAAGCGAAGAACCACTTCTTCATCAGCTGATCCATATCTGCAAGGAAAATGAGAGAGAGTGAAATTACAGAAATCCAGAATGCAAAATCACATTGAAAGCCAGCAAGTCCAACGCTGTCCAGAAAGCAGAAATGCACTGATATTCCACCAACAGAGACCTAAAGCACTGAAACCGAATGTCGATGAGAGCATACTCTCACCACCAACAACATGTGCATCCAGAGTCCTTCCTCCTACTTGGCGCTCAGCGCCCAAACTACTACCACACAGCCTACTAGCAGCCTACGAATTGGAAATGCATCCAGTTGACGTCAGCAGCAGAACCAAAGTACATGAAGATGTCGACCCTTGTAGACCATCGCCAAGACCAGGTATGTGCAACCTCACCTCTCTCTCTCTCTCTCTCTCTCTCTCTCTCTCTCTCTCTCTCTCTCGACTTTCTCACCCATGTCTTCAACCTCATGCACGAAGAGCACCACCGCCTCCACTGGCTATGTCCAAGCCGAGCCCAGCTACAAGGGCTGGCTATGGCGCTGCCCTCAGCAGTGTCCTGCCTTCTCACACAACCGCCATGCGGGCACACTCGCACACGCATTAGCGCAGCAGGCCATGAGAGCTAGCTCCATCAGCGCTGCTGCATCTGCTTGCAAGTGCCCGAATGTCGAACTCGGAGCCCAGCCCTTTCCTATATGGAAAGTGGCAGGCAAATTCCACTTGCTTCCCACGTGAGACCGAGTTTCCAGTCGCTTCAGTCTCGGACAAAGTGTCGGCACCCAGGCCTGTTCAGACAGTGGCCTGGGGCCGAATTAGTTAGGCATGCCCAACTGCCCAGGCATAAACGTGTGGTGCAACCATGTTGCTGGAAGAGCCTGAAAGGCTCACGGATATTTTGGACTCTCACGAGCAACGCGGAGGTAACCAACTGGCGCGTGGCAACTGTCTGGCGCCCACCAAGGTTTTGCAAACATTGACAAACCCAGGGCACATTGAGATTCAGGGGGGCCGCCTTCACTTAGGACTGGCAAGCGCCTGCTGCAGGGCCTTATGCCGAGGGGTAAACCCTCGCATATCATTCTTGTGGACACTGATTGGTAGTTGAGAGGCGGTTAAAAGATCATGACGGCTCCAAGTGTCAACATAGGAAAGGGGTGGCTATTGGTGAAGGAGAAGCAGCGGGGGTGACAAGTGCCAACAAGAGGAGCAAAGGGAGGGGGTTCGCAGGATAGGAGACGAGAGGGCTTACACTGAAGAATGAATACAAGAGAGAGAAATAACAGGATGGAGGAGTGGAAGCTCAAAGATGGCCCTGGTGCGGTTCCGCCCGCATGAGAAGAGGGGTATTGATGATGATCCAAACATTGGCAAGAGTATGTACTGAGCCTGCCGGATTGAAAAACTGAAGTGAACAATACACTTGGATTTGTTGTGTCCGGGTGGTCAATTGTTGTGTCCAGCAGACAGCAAAAAAGCAGTGAGGAAAAAAAAGGGGAAGGTGCGCAGAACGGGCGAAAAAAGGTGTGCAGAACAGGCAAAAAAATATAATGACATGAAAGACGATAACAAAACAGTGTATGCTACGTGCAAACGTGACTGTTGACCTGGTTCATGATTGCTGTTGGATTTGGTGCTGTGGCACTGCAAGCAAACTGCAATGACGACCTGTATTTCTCTTCCATGTTACAAAAACATCAAACTGGAGCTGTGCTCTCTCCCTCTCTCTCTCTCTCTCCCCAAAACCTCTCTTGGTCTGGGCCTGCGTTTCAAAAAAAAAGAGAGAAAAGGGACATCCTTGATGTATCATGATCAAACTGACCAGCCCCATGTGATTTCTTCCACCACAATTCGAACAAGGTCTGTTAATCAACACTTCATGGATGTACCGTTCAGCCACAGGGGCAAGGTGTATCATCATCTGTTAAGGAACAGAGGTCAAGGATGCCATTATTTTCGATGAGGATTGGCCTTGGGTACATTCGCACATTTGGTAACTAGTCTGATAAACGACATTTAATCAACCGTGGGTTTGTACATTGGAAAAGAGTGAATCCAGCTGCTGCAGGTTGCCCTGGCCCATATGGCATAGAAGGCGGTTGGAAGAAAAAAAAAGGCACCTAGTGGTTACCAACATTTTTCTGCCTTTAGGGAGTGGCTTAAGCTCAGAGTCATACTGGTCTAACTCTGTGGCCCACCTAGTAAGCTTAGGTGTCATCTTGGCCTGCGTCTTCAACCACCGTAGAGTCTCGTGGTCTGAATAGACTTTGAAGCATGGTAACTGCGAACCCGGACACCGGACACTTCCGGACTGTCTTCCGGACCAGTGTCTGGACCGGTCCGGACTTGTCCGGTGATCCAGACATCACCGGACACCGGACATAACCGGACAGTCCGGACCGGTCCCCGGGGTGCAAACAATGTCCGGACAAAAAAAA